AAATTAAAAATAGAATTAATTATAAATAAGATAAATTAATAAAATTACTTATTTATCCAATTTAGTAATAATTGGTGATTACTGCACCATGTCTACTGCATCACATGAATAGGTGATTGGTTACAATATTAATTTTTTCTTTATATAAACTAAATAATATTATATTTTTTTCAATTTTCTTAGTAATATTATATATTTTACTTCTAGTTTAAATTTTAATACTTTTTAAATTTTATTTAATATCTTTAATTTTTATAAATATAATATTATATTAACTTAAAAATAATATTATAAGTAATAATTTAATAATAATATAAAGAATTTTTATTATTATAATATATAATATTTATATAACTTAAATATTCAAAAACTTCTTGTATTATTATTTGAATTTTTATTTTAAGTTTATAACAAGATTTTTATAATTTTATATATTATATTTTCACTTATTACTTTAAAATATAATTGCAAATTATTGATAAATATAAATAAATTAATTGCAAGTTATTAAGAAATTTTGAAAGTATCATTTTTATTATTATATATATTATTCAATATCAAATTATTATTTAATATATTATGCTTAGTTAGTTAATATTATATATATTATTAACTAACAAATCATGTTATTTATGTAGTATATCCTAAGTTATATACTATATATTATATTATTATTACTTTTATAAATGTATATATGAATATATAGTATTTTCAACTAGGTAAAGTAAGTATTTATTACTTTATACTAATCTAACTATTATTTAATGTCAACTTATTAAAAATATGTATACATTAATAAAATATCTATTTGATTATTCAACATGTAAAATTAAATCCGAAATTTTTGAGCATTCAGTGCTAAATAGCAATAAATAAATCAAGCAAAAAAATTTTTTGTTGAAGCGAATTCTTGGTTATTTGTCATCATCGTTATTATATTATTATGATAAATAGCCTATTTCTAATAACACTACAATTCCGAAAGCATATTTTTTACAACATTATAATACTCTTCATGGACATAATCTTTCATTTCTTGTTTTGTGACCCATGCAAAATCCACTACTTCTTCATTATCTATCTTAACTTGTCCCGCGAATATATGACCTTTCATGAAAAATACCTTTTTTTATGTTATTATATATTGATATTAATCAAATGTAATCTATGTTTTTGAAAGCAATAAGATAAAGAAAAGATTGCACCTTTGCGCCAATATAATTTTCATGGTCTTTCTTTAACATTCCTGGAAAATCATATTGGTAGAAACCAATAGGCCTTCGACCTACTATCCAAACATCCATATCAGGTCCACATTCTTCTGTTAATTCACGTCTAGCAGCCTTTTTTTGACATGGAAAAAATATAGTTACAGAAAAATATATTCTCAATAATTTCAAATGCCACGACAATAAAAATACCTCATGTAAATATTCATTAGTTCTGACGCCACCCTGTGGAAACTGCCACGCATGCATCTCCCTCGGTTTCTTCACAATTAAATACAACGTTCGCTGCAATGCCCTATCCAACGACTTGACATCGTCTATCCGATCCGCGTCCGTAATCCTACTAGCAACCTGTACCTGCTCAACTCCTTCCGCATCAATCAGATCCTGTTGTTTTACATCTAATCTCATCTGCGCCCTAATTAACGCCACCAATCCGTTTGCTCGTGCCTTTTCTATTTCTTCAGAATTTTCACGATCTCTTTTTTCTTGCCATAGTTTCTCTGAGGCACTACCTTTCTTAAAGTAAAATTCTATGGGAAAAGCAGCAGCATGTATGCGTGCTAAATGTCGTTGATATGCATAGTACTCGCGCTCAAACGGATGCAGGTCTCGTGTAATAATTGGACTACGACACAAGACTAACCCTGCCACCGTTCTGTATGGGGAATCGATCTCAATTTGTGAGTATTGTAATGGTGGTGGGTTAAGTAATATGCGATTTGAGTCAGTTTTTCGAGAGGTTGTTGAAGAACTTGCTAGACGACGGTAACAGCCACGACAATATACATGCAGAAAAGGACGATTCCGCCAGTGGTTGACCCGAGAAATCATTGGAATATTGGGGATTCGTCAAAGCAAGGTAAGGATCAAGTCACATATTCACCACACTTGATCGATAGTAAAGTTGCCAATCAAAATTACGTGTCTTTTGCTATATAAGGAGACCTAATAAATCACGTGAATTGGTCGAGGGTAATAAAAAAGATAATATTGAACAAATTATAATAAATATTTTATTTTTCATAATTTATAATTATTTATAAAGATTAAAGATAATTTTTTCATTTTTAATATATTAAAAAAAATAAAATAATTTTTCACTTTTTAATTTAGTTATCAAGTTTACTATTTTTATTATATAGTAACAATCAAAAATAATGTAACACTTAAATTTTTTACTAATTATAATTAGTAAAATACATATTTTTTCTTATATATAAAAGTTTTTAATTTTACT